ATGTATCAGTTTATCTAAGGATACAGGGTATAATTCTTATACAGAGTTGTGCAAATTTAAATTACATTACATACATGATACTGATACTACCACACGGAACGGAATGACCATTAAATACGTTTGTACTTTCGCATTCCCTACGAGAGCTCCGAGCACCCATGAGAGGTTGCTCATGGGAGCACCTGCTTCAATGCCCCCTTATAGTTGGGGCCAGTGGCCTAGGGCCTATTATTGTGGCTTATCAGCCACTGTAAAGTATATATCAGCAACACCGATTCACGGATTCACAGGAAAAATATTAAGTCAAACTCCCAAACTAATCTGTTATATTGCTAATGGCTTTGGTATACTGTATCACTTCTGCACATTGCAATTTGCACTGACTTTTGGGTGGCACAATTGCACACAGCCCGTTCGTTGGTGGATCGGAGGATCGGATAGGGTCGTTTGGGTCGATCGGGATCGCCGCGTATTACCGTTCAAATTTAGTAGGTAACAGAGCTGAGCTAAGTACTCAGCAAATGTACTTGAAGTATTAAGTGATAAATATGTTAAATATACTTACAGTATTAAATACAATATTTTTCTAATGTACTTAAAGTATTAAGTATTTTACTTAAAGTAAAAAAAAAAAACAGTATAAGTATCAGTACTTTTTAGTTTCAGTAGCTGTATTTAGAGTATGTTTCATATGCATTTAGGTACTTATAAGTACCTACTTATAAATCTATCCTAATCAATAAAATTAAATAATAATGCTATTTGTGTTTTACTACTTTTTTTCTAGTGAACACTATTGTTTACTTATAATAATTAAATAATTAGTTCTGACATGCTCAAAGGGATGTAAGTAAAATACTTGAAGTTGTACTGAATATTTTACTTCAAGTATATTTTTCTAATCAGTACCTCAGCTCTGGTAGGTAATACCATAAAATTATAATAGGTAACGTAGCTTTCATACTTTCATAAAAAAGACACTTTAAGTTAGACAAAATACGTTAACGCTAACGTAAGATTTGACATCTGCGCATGCACAGTACCAAAAATAGTGTGTTACGTGTCACGTTATTTAGCGGGTCTTTGCGTGTACCTTATCCGTAAATGTTCGGTAAACCGAGTGGGCCCGAAAGCCAGATTGCCGGTGTCGACCTTTGCCGAATGTATTTTAACCTTAAAAAAACGTGTCATGTAATTAGGGAATCCAAACCACGTGACTTTTGCCAACCAGCCGGCATTTTGAAATTTTTATAAGGTTAGAATACGGGTTGTTACATGTTAGCGATGTCAGAAAAGTGTCAGATTGATAAAGCCTAGTACTCATAACCGCGAAATTCGCTCTTTTTTGACGTTGCTTCGACAATTTGACGTTTGATTCACGCATAAAACGTCAAATTGTCAAAGCAATGTCAAAAAAGAGCAAATTTCGCTGCTATGAGTACTAAGCTTAATCCTGCCAAAAGAAAAACATATGTTTTTTGTTTATTGTTTGCCAACCAGACGCCATTTGGACAGGTCCTTGGATTGCCTAATTCAAAATAATCAAAATACAAAAAATTATTTCTTATTTGTCCTTTTCACAGATTTGGAGGTTAGGTCATGATTGTGACATATAACGTTAACGTTTAGGGGAAAATTTAACTTTAACTGATTTGTGAGCACCAAAGGTCACTCGACGCTATAGTAAAAAATAGGGTTTACGTTTAAAGATTACGTTAACGTGTTCGGTCCAGCTTAAAGTGTCTACTGCCAAATAATCAAAGTTTTTTGTGGGGGGGGCCTAGCGACGTCTGGGGGGGGCCCGGCCTCCCCAGACCCCCCTGTAGTTACGCCACTGGTACTGATTCTCAGCTCCGTCTGAAGTTGGAGGCAAAATAGCTAACTCTTGCTAAATTCTTGCTAAGAACTTGACGAGATGCAAGGGTTTTGTATTATTTATAATATCTCAACTGATCTAAATCATCTGCTAGCCTATGCCTACAATGTAAAGTAAATAAAAATGCATCTCCAGCTTTGACTATTAATGTAAGTAAACATATGTAGATAGATTAACTTACTATGATCATAACATAACCTCCGATATAAAACTCAAAAACTGACAGGTGTATTTTGCATTTATTTTCGGGGATAATACCACGAGAGCTTCAAAATTATCTGGTTTATTTTAAAGCTTAAGTGGTATTTAGAGGATTATTTCACGTATGAGAATACAAAAAATATGGAAATAAATATGTATTAAATGATTTGAACATCTCGACAATCAATACAAATAAATGGTTGCTATCAGGAACCGTTTGTTTGTATTAAAAATTAGCATGAAAACCATCTATACAATAACATGGGAGAATTATCGCTGTAATTCTCTCTAGTTAAACAAATGTAAAAGAGAATTTTCGCTGTAATTCTGAAAATCGTCACTTGTCTTATGGGATTTCTAACACATGAGTGGAATAATCTTTTAAATTTTATTACCAGAGGCAAATAAATGTTGACTGAAATTAAAAACATGGAACCAAAGTCATAACATTTTGTTTTGTTTTGCGATTTTCGCGCCGCCTTAAATAATTAAATTATCAAAACCGAATAATAGACTTATCTATTTTTACCTGGTATGCGCGCGCAACACGAGGCAATGTCTTTTTATTGGTTAGCTAATACAGGTGTGAGGTAATCGTTTTGCATGCTGGGCATCTCTTTATCCTTGTTCATTGCACGTGGGCTGACAAGAATAAATCTAAAGTTGATATTCAACTTGACAAGTGTCATTCAGAAGTTGTTTGACATTTTCATTGACAAATACGTTCCACAACACGAGGTTTTTCTCCTTTCCTTTTTATCCTGTGCAAATAAGAAGGGCGGTTTGCTATACGTAAGTCTAACATAATTTGGTAAGTTTTGCCTCGTCTTGCGCAATGAGCGTTTTGTGTCTTTTTTTGTTAAATGAAGTTTTCGTATTATTACCTCTTTGTCTGGTAAAATAGATAGGTGTATTAACAGAATTAGGCAATTCAAACCACGTGACATTCAAGATGGCGTGGCGGCCACACATGGGCCAAAAAACACAAAAAAATATCTAGTTTCTGCCCGAATTAATAGTTTAGGTACCTAGTCAACAAATATTTTATTAAATAATGAAAACCAAAGTTGTAAGCAAAACTGTATGCAAAATAATTTAAAATACGCATAAAAACATATTCAAAACAAACTTGCTTGGCCGCCACGCCACATTGAATTTTCCTTTTTGACAGATGGATTGAATTGCCTAATTGAAAATTCATGTTGATAGATCGCTATGATACAAAATTACTTTTCATTGTATCATTTGTATCTGATAGATTTTTTAATTCTTTTCAATTTTCATGTCTTCATTTTTTTCAAAAACATGTACCGGTTTCGAGTGATTCGCGGTTTTTCCCAAACAGTGCTGAAATTCAAGATGGCGGACGACTTTTTTTGGTGACGCAACAGTCGGAGGGATGGGGATTTTTAGTATGTTAATAAGGAGTACTAGGGCTACTTATTTTTGATAGTCGCAGCTTTATAAAAAAAATTGCATTTTCAACATTGTGAATTTCATAACTGCACTGGCCTAATAGCATAGTAAGATAACAATATTAATAAAGGTCTCAAATAATAATGAATAGTGTAAAACCTTGATATAACCATACATAAAAAATATACCAACAAAAATAGACCTACAATAAATAAAGAAATAATATAAAATATCAAAAATAATCACAATAAATATACATAAATAAAGAATCATCAAATGTCAAAAATCTCGTCCAATCTTTTGTCCTCCTGAATGGTACCCATCACTGAAGCCGCATCACTGTATGGCTATGCTGATCCTCTGAGTTAAGAAACTACGTGAATGATTAGTTGGAATTTTGGAACTAATTTCCGAAACCAATCTCCTAGCCTCATCACCCATCATCCCAAGGACCTAAACTCTCTACAGAAAAAGGGACAAACATAAAGCGGTCTTCAAGTTCAGAATACTTTCTATGTTTTTTTTCTTCAGCCAGCAAAGTAGCTGATCCAGATGTTTTTGATGATTTATTAACATATTATTTTGCCAAAGTATGGCAACAAGTTGCATCCCAGATTAACTGTTTTCCATTTTTCCATAGGATCAGCGTCATTCCGTCTGCCCTTCTACCATCATTTCTACAAACCCCAAGTGGTGTACTGGAGCCACTTGGCTGGATATTCAGCTGATATCAAAGCCCTCTTGAGAATATCGTTGATCTGTCTGTGTCTGGAAACACGCCCTGCACTTTTTCTACAGCTTAGCCCGTGAGAGCCATATATATCAGCAGTTTCGCCGCAGATGCAAAGTTGTTCCACAGACACAGGTAGACCAAGTCTTATTGCTGTTGAGATTCTAAAGGTTGTGTTATCCAAAAGATTTCCTAAAGAGGCAGACGGTGAAGCGTTGAGCCATGCATTGCTTTCTTGCGCTTGGAGAGCCAACAGACGTGCTTTATCATTTTCACTCTTTGCTTCTAGAAAAAGGAATTCTTTACGAATCTTGCAAAAGATATCATCAAATTTTTTCTGAGATTGTGGTAGTTCTTTAGGAGGAGTATCAATTTGACTCAGAGAGGACCAACTGTTCAAACATTCGTCAAAAACTGAGTCACAGTCCAGGAGATTATTATGCATTATTTGTGTCCCAGATACTTTTGGTGACGATGGTTCATTATTTAAAATAGAAAACAAGCAACTCAGTGATTTCTTTGTAAAATGCCACCTGATTTTATTGTATCCGCGCTGCAAATCAGTCAACAAATATTTCTGCTGCTTGTATCCTGGTTTGTATGTGTCAAGTGAAACTTCTTACTGCGCGATGGGGGCTAATCGGAGTCTTCCCATTCTGTTGGCATTACACTCTCGTGTCTTTCTCTTTGAAAAACCATAAGCGGTGGGACGTTTAGACATTAATTGATTTTTCAGGAATTGGCAGGAATTTAACTAATTTGTTTATCTTTTTTTAGGATGAAGAGGTAGCTATGCTAAGTGAAATGGGTCATCTCCAAGAAGCTGTACAACAATTGGAAAAACACACCGCCGATCCGAGCACGCTACCGCCGGCCTCAGAACAAGTTATAGCCGATTTGAAATCCTCGGACAGTGGCTGGTCCTTTCAAACGCCACCGTCGTCCCCGTCCAGTTTAGGCTCTCGAAAGTCTTCCATGTGTTCCATTAGTTCGCTAAACAGTTCGTCGTCTGGCAGTTCAAAGAGTCATCATTCGCCGAGTCATCCGCATTGGCAGAGAAGTCTTTCGCAGGTACGAAATGTTTACTTTATTTAGATTAGATTTGATTTTTTTATTTAGTATAGTTAATTGTTGTATATTTTTTGTTCAGGCTTAACAAGCAAAGCAAAATGTCTGATGCCTATATTTTATTAAAAAATTAGGACTTATGTATAAGCTCATGCGAGCACCAAAATTTCACACCTGTCAAGCCCACTGTTAAATAATGCGACCTCTACAGTTTTGTATGAATTATTTTGAAAATAAATTACTGTGGGGATTAACAATTTCCTCTTCGCTTCAAGAAGGAAATTGAAAAAAAGTTACAGTAACTTTAATTTGTATTGTTAAAACTCAAATTATTGCTTAGTTTAGTTTAGTTTAGTATTATTATATGTCATTGTTTGTGTTTCTGTTTAGTATTATATTATTATTTTTATTTTCTTTATTTATTATTTTTTGTTTTTATTGTTTTTGTGTGACGTAGCCTGTAGGGCGTATTGGTGGCAAACGCGTATTGTCAGTCTCTAGCCAAGATTCAGGGTTCACCTCCCAGGACACCCTGTTTCCCAGGCCTGCCTCATCTTTTAGTATTGCCCAGGTGAGAAAATAATATTAAAAAGATAATCCAACTTTGTTCCTGTATTTTTTTACGTTAACCTCAATCACCTATTTCACTAACCCGAGGATTTGGCAACAGCAAGAAGCTAGTTTTACTTGAGGTTTGCCTTTCAAGTTTGTACCGATAGGTCATTTATCAAAAAAATCCAATAGACTCAATTTGATTGAATATTGATTTTATATTAATATGTTATTTTAGGTCTCAAATATGTCCGAACACAGTAACAACAGTAGCAGTTCAAGTACTCCATGTACTCCGTTCCCAGCAACTGCAATTCCCACTACTACCGCCACTTGGCCCAATTTGCAAGAGACAATGCAATTCGAACGAGCAGCTTCAGCCATTATAAGTGATCGGCCTCACACCATATCATCAGGTAATTTTTTTTTTTAGACAGTTATCTGCTTTTAGTCATCATTATTATGAAGTTATAAAATACTGAAACTTCGATTTTTCCAGCTTACGAAAAAGGACACTCCCGTCCACCACTCACAGTCTATACATTTCAAGCTCCAGAACAAAGTCTATCTCAACCGGCCAGTCCAGTGACCACGATCACGCCCACTGCAGAAACGAATCCGATGATTCCACCCAAGAGCCCTTCACTTTCAGTGAAGAGCCTTGCAAAACCACCATTGCCTACAGTGAGTATTTATTTTTTCCTCGAAACCCGCCCATCACAAGTAATCAAACAATTTTAGAGATGCTCCTCACTTGAACGTCCAGCAGCGCCACCCGGTGGCATTCCAGCCAAGTCGATAGCTGGTATGCAGGGGGTTAGAGTGCTCCCTCCTGGTGCCGGGGAGCAGTTGGCGGCACTAAGGAAGATACCGCCAAGTGCTTTGCCCACCCATCTAGCAGCCAATAAAAGTGCTGCAGGACAACCTCAAATACAGGTAGGACTTAGTTTTCAAGAAAACGGATTCCCAATATATAATAGGAAAAAACGGAAAAAACCTCAGAGTAATACGACATAAATAGAGAGGGCAAGTCATTCATAAAATCGTTTGGTTTCTGCGGCCAACGACAATAGTGGATTAATGAATGAACTACATGGAGTGGGGATAAGATTGCGGACAATGCGGGCCAATCACAAACAAAACCCGTTTGACATTTCTTACTATGAATACTACAGCGCATTCGCGATAATGGTCAGACTTGCTCCGGCAATATTTGCATCCTTCTTTATCTGGTTATTTTAACAAAGATAAAACGATTCAGGTGGGCGTTCCTAGATGAATACAACCAGGTTCCCAGATTTTAGGCAGTGTTGCCATTTTCAGCTAGCACAAAATCTTATTCAAATTTTATTGTGATAATAGATTATTATTTTATGTAATAATTATTCCCATTCAATTTTGGAAAGCACCGCGATATTTTATGTTATAATTGTATATACATATACCTATCTAGGTTTTTATATTTACGATAGATTTTTTTCAATTTCCAATTCCATTTTCCCTGCAACTTAGGATAATTTTTAAATATGGCACATCTGCAGTAAGTGTCCGCAAGTGATCTTAGAATGGGAGTCAATGTTTGGGGCATTTTTTAATCATAATAAACCTAACTATTTCATGTGTTAATCTGAGGAAAAAACTATCGCGGCCGCGGCAGGTCACGTAGGTAGGTGCCCAAGCGGCCGCTATGCGTATTGTAGTTTCAGAAAACAGAGATTTGTATTGCACTAATAATAACCTATTCAATAATTAGGGGTTTATTTCAAAGATCATTTAGTAAATTTAAATTTTGGATGTGGAGAAATATATACATAAAATAAAGTTTTAAATTTTGATAAAGGCAATTGACAACAACAGCAGTTGTTCAAATACATAGATTCGTTTAATTTAAAATATCATTCATGTTGGTTTAGATATTCGCGTCCACGGTTTAGAAGTAGTGGATGAAAATAGTGAGGTTTAGGACAAAAATCAAACTCCTGGATTAAAAATTCGTCGACGTTTCGGCCTTATTTGAGGCCTTCTTTAGGGCTGAAAGAATAATAACCATTATTATTTCCTATCTGTGTCTTGAAACATCACTTTCGACTACAGTAACGATTAAAAAAAAAATTGTCAATTAGAAAATTAGACAGTTACAAAAATTTCAAAAAAAATCAAAAATTTCTTCCTTTCTTAACATTCAACATTCAAAAAAACAAAAACAAAATAAATATAAGAAACAATAAAAGTACAAATAAATATTAAAATGTTAAAAAACACAAATACACAAAAGTTAATTAAACTACATGTAACGAAATATGAAAAATTCGATGGTTATTCCAGATCTTAACACTGTTATTTCTACAGGGTGTCAATTTGAAAACTTCCCACCCCTATTATCTCAAAGTAGAAAAATTTTCAAAAAAATCCCTGGAACACGTCAACTATAATTTAAAAGGGGATGAGTTTTTATGCAAAATTCACCACCCCTTTTTCAACCCCCAGAGCCACCCCTTAGAAAATCTTAAATGGGAAGAGGGGTCAAGTGATACATCATATTGGAGGGTTTTTAATTCCATAAATTTTGGTGCTAAATTTTAATCCCTAAGTTCAACTGTTTTGGAAATATTGACAGTTGAAAATTGACTTTTTTGCAACTTTGACAGACTGTAAAACCTAAACGGTTAATTTTAAAGGAAAAACGACCTCACATTCTTTTAGATTTTTATAAACTATCATTTGACAGCAACTTCGAATTTAATCCATGATCAAAAATTTCGGTTAAAAATTTAATCTCCCCCAAGCAACACAAAATTGTTTAATATACGTATAATTTTTGTTTATACCACAAGTATATTTATGGTTTACTATTGCCTGCTATAATAAGTTAAAATGTCCGACTGATATAGGTCGATATGGTACCATAATTATGATCCAAATATAAACGTATACAAAATATGTTTAGGAGGTTATGGTATAAAACGTATATATTTATCATAGAATTTACGTTAATTCAATTGTTATGATGTACTTATAATAAATGTATAGAAATTATGTTTAATAATTTACTATTTAAAACGTGTATATTTGATTTAAAACTTACGTTAATTCAATTGATATAATTCACCAATGATAATTGTATATGTGATACGTTTATTAATCATATTATTATACGTTATAATTTGATATAATTTAAACATTGAAATATAAACTATATCATACGTTGAAGCAACGAATTTGATAAAGTTTATATTGTTCTTTATCAGTAACGTTTAATTAACTAAAATAAATGGAAGAGTTCATTTATGGAATAAATAATATATTTCGAAAAGTTATTGCATAGTTATTACAAAAAATTTAAAAAAATAAATCTTGTCCAATATTTTTATCTGTTATGTCTCCTGCCGTGATGCCCACTTGGTCCTCTCCTTGGAAATAATTACATATTATAAGTGAGTTATTTTCCATGAGGGTCACTCATAGCAGTGCAACTATTCTCAAAAAAACAATAATAACTTTATACCTAAGTATTGAAAAAAAAAACATATTACCTATGTACCTGTCTACCTAAATGATTTATCCCGCGACTCATTTATAATTAATTAACGGAAAAAAAAAATCGACAAGGATTGACCATTCCAGTACAGATGAGATGACTTTACTATGACAATTTGCTCTGGGGGGTACACATAATCAAATAATATAACCAAAAATTACAATTTTGGCATTTTCCGATAAGTTTTCAACCTAGGAAACTTCAAAATTTACAAAAAAAATATCGGTTTTTCCTCAGCCTGAGGAATACTGGAATGGTCAATTGTTTGTACCTGTGTGGAAAACGAAACGACGAAATATCAGCTTGTAAATCAAGTATCGAAATGGCTGAATTTTGTAAAAAAATAGCACACATGCCAGGTTTTTCAAATAAATATTCCTAATTCTAAACAACCAATAATTTTCCACTTACTGGATTCATTAGACTGCTATTAACAGGGGCAGCTAAAAATTCACGATTCACAAGTCACAGCATGCAAGCAAGCACTACGCACTCACGGGCACATTGTAGACCGGCTATCAACAACGACTAACGAAAATGGATCGCAATCGATGAAGATGAAGGCCATCGGCACGACGCGTGCGTAGTTCAGCCACAGACAGCATCTGATTGGTTGGCCGGTCTGTGCTTTCAGCACTTCATGTTGGTTACACAAGCGCGGGAAATATACAATTTTTGAATTTTAATCAATTATTGCTCCCTTTTCTTTCAAATGAAAACTGAATGGGACATAAAATCACTAGACAAAAAGGCACGTCGAGTTATTATTCAGTGTAGGTAGCATATTTTCCAAAACAAATGAAAATTCCGATGGGGTATTAAAAATACTCGTAGGATATAGGATAGGTTGGCATGGCAATGGCGATGGCAACTGACAAATAAGAGAAAAGTATTTCTGTCTGAGGTGAAGGGGGAGGAAAAAACGATATGGAAATACACAGTTACGATGGAATAGAGCGTGATAGTAATATTAGTTCGCATGTTTGCCGCCTTCCTTTGAATTTTCATTTGTCGCTGGTCGCTCCTATACTTTGATTATACAAATATGATAAACTATAAACTATCTCATGCCCGGATTTTCAGTAAACTTCTGACACGAATATAATACATGGTATACTGCCTCAGTTAGTTAATCATAACGGGATTATTTACCCCTTATCGTGAGTAAAATGTAAAAGAATGTTGTGTATGGCCATATAATATAGCAGGTATAATAAACAAGTATATATTTATACTATTATATACCCATAATGTACCCTACTTTTCCGTCTGCCATAGACATCTATTTTCAAGTAAAATTTTATTGGATGTGATACGTCTATTAAATACATTTAAAATATCATGATCTACACTTGCTGGTAATAAAGTAGTATATGATATATGTTTATTTGAGGTCTACAAATTATACGTTGACGATAAATCATTTGTAAACGTTTAATAAATATACCAAAACTAAAATATTACCTAAAAATGGTTGATTATACTGTCACAATAAGCTAAACGTCCGCCAGGCTGTCAAGAATCGATCGCGGAAATACTAGAATCTAGCGAATTATTCTACTTTAATCTGGAAAATTAGATTATCGTGTGTATTCTAGATTTCACAGGAATAGATTTAGGGATATATAAGAAGGCCGGCATTGGTTTGTAAGTTAGTTTCAGTTCGACTGTGATACGATTTAAATAGTGATTGTAAAGAGTTTAATTGTTGAGTTTGTTAATAAAGTAATTAGTGTCAGAGTGTTTTGTTAAGTGGAATAAATTATTGCTGTGTTAATTGGACTTTGATTTTTGGAATAAACGAAACGAACAACGAACCCAAGATTTTTGTCAGCAGGCAACCCAAAGCCGCGACAATACTTATATTATACAATTAATCAAATTTATGTGTTGCTTGGGCTATGATTTCTGATTTCGAATTGGAAGATGTTAAAAGATCGTCGATGTAAAAGTCAGCCCTTATTATTTCTTAGATTTTTGGACATTGATGTTCAATGACTTCTGCTACTTGCAACAGACTTCTGACAGCAGATAGGGCACCGACGCTGTCCCATAGGTAACAGTGTTCAGCTCATAAACCTTTAATTCTTCTTGTGGGTTTCTGCGCCAAAACATTTTTTGAAAATTCCGATGTTTTTTATCGATCAAAAGCTGACGGTACATCTTTGATATGTCACCGCTTAGGACATAGTTAAACATACGGAACCCTATTAATATCAGAAATATATCTTGTAGAGAAGAGTCAACGTATTGCACATCATTTACGGATAAATTTGAACTTAATTTAGCCGACCCGTCAAAAACCACTCATTTTGTAGTCAGACTGGATTGTTTTATAATAGCGTGATGCGGCAAAAAAATATCCGCTTTCATTTGTTGACTCAACTTCAGACATATGATTCAAATATAAATACTCAAACATAAATTCTGATTTTTTTTTCTAGTAAATCAAACCTATCTAGTGCCAATTCATAGACTGAATCTTTAAAAGAAATTTTGACTATATATTATCCAGAAATATCTTTTCTACTTGTCTCTTTGAAATATTTTTCCTCCGTTGACAAGTCTGGCTCATTATTCAAGCTTAAGCAAGTAAGCGACTCAGATTCGAAACAATTTAAATATAAATTGTCCGCAATCATCCAACCAAATTCGGTATTTTGCAAAATTGGCATGTCGGTGCTGAACCTTTAACACCCTAAGAGTAAAATGGACCAAAAAACATGGGATCCTATCAGCAAATCAATATCTTAATCGATAAATGAAAATTTGAATCTGCCAATTTTATACCTATTCAAAGGAATTCTTAAGGCATTTTTATTGAAAGATTTTGTTGGTATTTTACCAGTAATATGGGGAATCACTAAGCATTTTGTTTCTATATTGAAAGATCCATTACATAAATAAATTATAATTTCAGTTTCATTATTAAAGGGGTGTGACCACTGGTCTAAAAAATAAATGGATAAACAATTCACACGGCTTGATTTGACTATTCTACGAACAGTTGTGCAACGGGACAGCCTAACGCCTGCGCAGTGTCTTATCTTTCGAACAACTGTTCTAAATTTTGAAATTCCTTCATTTTCATTGCCCAGATTTTGTGCACACACAATACATGTATCTACTGCGCACGCTCACAGCTGTCCCAGTCAGTTGTTTTTGTTTAGATTTTGACCTCGTAAATTAGCAGCATTAGAAGCGTTCTTTGTTTATCCATTTATTTTTGAGATCAGTGGGTGTGACCCAAAAATGAATGTTTTAGTGCACAAAAATTTAAGAACCGCATTTAAACCGCATCTTGCTACGATGTTCCGTTTCCGAGTTAGGGCGATTTAAAATTACATTAAGGTGTTTATGACGTCACACTGGATTATCAGGGACAGTTTTAATACGTGTAAGAATTTTCCAAACAACGTTCAACAATTTTCAATCCAAAAACATACAAGTACCATCTGGAGTTCCCCAGGGGTCGCATCTTGGCCCTCTTCTCTTCAACATTTTTATCAATGATCTAATATTGCACTTCAAACACAGTCAGTTTCTCCTTTTCGCAAATGATTTGAAGTTTTACATGGAAATAACTTTTCCGGATGATTGTCTATTTCTACAATCAGACATAAATAATCTAGTAGCTTGGTGCAACGGAAATGGGATGGATCTGAATTCCTCAAAGTGCTATTCGATAGTTTTCCATAAGTCAAGATCACCTTTTGTACATCCCTATTCGATTAAAAATGATATACTCGAAAACGTCTCCGAAATCAAAGATTTAGGTCTTCTGCTGGACTCCAAGCTCACTTTCATCCCACACATCCACAAAGCCTTATCGAAATCTCTTCAGATGCTCGGTTTTATAAAGCGTATAACCCGTGAATTCACTAACACTAGAGTGATTAAACAATTATATTGCTCATTGATAAGGACTCATCTCGAGTACTCTTCTTGCGTCTGGAATCCCCACTACAATGTACATATCCAAAACATAGAAAAAGTTCAACACAAATTTTTAAAATTCATCGCTTTTAAACTTAATACTCCCGAATTGACATACCCACAGTTGGAATCAAATATCCATATCAGAAGCCTTGAACACCGACGGAATGTGAAAGATCTTAGGATGCTATATTACTTAATACATAATAGATATAATTGCCCCTTGTTGTTGCATAAAATAGGTTTACATGTGCCTTCTAGGGAAACTCGCCTCAGGGATACTTTTTCCGTGCCGGCGCATAGAACCAACTACGGTCAGGATAGCTTTATATCCAGGTCGTGCAGACTGGCAAACGGCTGACTCGGCGTTTATAAAGCAGTTGAGTGCCTTAGCTTGAAATCTCTATACCTCAAACCTCAAAATGATATAAATTAAAATTAGAATAGTGGAGCTGTTGTGCTATTTTTTGTTTGCCTCAAAAATAATTATTATTAAAACGTGTTTATTCTGTGTATAAAATGTTATATGTATTACATTACTTTATGAAATTGGGCCATGCCCGTAAATAAATAAATAAATAAATAAAAACAAAAGACAATTATCTCACTAGAGCGAATTTCAACCACTCAAAGTATAGGGTCAGTTCACTGACGACTGAACAAACAGAAGGTTGCGATTTCGGCGGTTGTGACATCACAAGTTCCTGCATAATTTATCTTCACAAGGAATTTTCTCGGAGACTGCAGTTTTCACGAGGGATCTTAGAGTTTTTTTCTTGATTTAAGTAGCTTAAGTCGTTTTTTAGGGTCACCCCCTTTTAATTTTCGCTAAAGCTTCTACATCTTGAACTCCGTGATTAATTTAATCACAGTGCAAATTTAATATTTTACATAATCCCTCAGTGATAAAATTGCTTTTTATATCACGGCCTTGCATTTTTACCCATGCGCGTAAAGAAGTTTCGCTTCAATAATATCCAATCATAAACTTTATTGCCGTTCTTCATAGTTCTTGCTTAGTAAGATTTAATTTTTTCATTGTCGTTTATTTTATTGTAGCAACCAACATACGTTAACATGCATGAACTGGCCAACATGGCAGTAGACAAAGCACAACAACAAGTCCAACAAAATCAGCAGCAAAACCAAGCAGCCTTTCCGCCACCTCCAGCAGAATTTATCAGTCCTGTCGAAAAGGTAATTCAACTCTTCAAAATTTTACGTGCAAATATGACAAGTGTTGTCCTTTTTTTAGCCCGAAGGTTCAACAGAAAAAGAAAGCAGCACCAGTGAAAGTTCCTTGGAGTCTTCCAGCGGCTACGGTAGCAGTCATACTACCTTCAATATGGAAGATCATAATCAACATATGGATGGTAAGTTGCTCTTTCCAATAGGCAATACAGCATGGATTTTTTTTTAGAATTTATTCATTGTTCACTAACAACAAAATTTATTGATTATAATAGGCCATTTGCCTCAAAGATCAGGCCTTATTCATCCTCTCATTTGCATGGTTTGTGTGTGTGTTTTTCATTTTTTTCCCTATAATTAGATGTAACAAAATCCAATATGAATAATGCAGCCAGCAAATACTGTACTCTACCCAGACACAACGACTCTGTAGATGGCCAGAGGCGAAGACCTTTATCAATGACAGGTATTATAATTGTTTATAGTCATCATCATAACAGTTGCTTGGAGTAATATTTATGGGTAATAATTACATTTTGATGAGATTTATTTTATGAATTATTGTGTAGGTATTGGATATATTATTTCGTTTGATTTGTCTATTGCTTATATCACGGCTTAATGCATGTTATGATGTTTTCATGTATCAGGACATACACATTTATTCAAATCTTGAGTAAGAAATAAAATAAGTTTTTACAAAAATTTATTCTAGCTGCCTCATTTTTTTACTCCATTGCAGCCATTCCCAAAGAAGTTATGTTTAGTTTACTTTTTGCACGTTACTAGTTATATAATATAAACAAACAGATAATTTATCGCTTTTAGTGTATAATTTAGCTTTAAAATTGTATGTTTAGCAATGAATACTCTGGGTACACTTCGCAACAATCTCCTGCGCAGAGGCAGCATGCAAAACCAAAAACCTCCGCCTCCAATAAGAAGGACGTCTTCCATTACCAATACTTGTGGTTCAATTGGGAGTTTGGAAAATTTACCTCCACCTCCAGCTTTCCTATTGGAACCCACCATCAGTAGTGGAATACAGAGTCCCAGCCAGCAACAACTTGGCACTGTTAAAGACATTATACCAAATCCAGGTAAGAATATACATTATACAATTAATTGAAAAGTTTCCTCACCACCTTTTTTCATACACATTTAGGAATAAAGGTTGCAGAAACGGTGAAAGCCTTAACCGAACTGAAACACACTCCGGCCAGTCCAAATTCTATTCGACGTAATATGGTTGCTAATAACATTTCCGGATCCGTCCAGAACATCTTTCAGCCTTCCACAGCCAACGAAAGACCGCACGGCTTCTCAACTGGAATGGGAAATGTCGAAAGGCAGAGCAGCTTTCAGCCAACAGGAAATACTATGGCCATGTCCGGTTCGAATCCTGTATTGAGTACTTTCCAGAGTCAAACCAAAGTGAGTGAGAAGTTGATAACTGAGTATACTCTTTGGTAATATGGCCCATATCATATTCCTATATTTTTAATCAAATATAGATTGCATTAAGAATGTTCAATGAGAGATTTTGAAAACTCTGGTTTATAAGTTTGAAATTATTTTTTGGATGACGATTTAAAACCATTTAACAAAAAATCTTGAAATACGTTTTCAAATTCCTAGAAACAAAATACCTCAAATGATTATCTTGATTTTTTCAAAATCAATTTTTAAGCGGAAAGGTAGGGGGTGTTCACTTTATACTGGATCACCTTGTATAGGGTAATCCACCATTGCTTGTCCCATTTACATACCATTTCTTTCACTTACATAGTAGCGCAATGATCAAGTTTTTCTTTAATGGTTTCCACTAGTAGGCTTCAATACCATCAAAATTTTGAACATTTTCCGGCCATACACAGTTAAATAGGTCCAACTGAAACTACAGTTTATTAAAATTGTGCATGATCTGCTATTTTTGGGGTGTACTTAGATTTGTTCTCGGATTTGTCACTGGTAATGAGAAGGTCAATTTTTGTAGCGCTTTGTTGTGTAATTCTTGTGAATTGTTGTATTAACTGATGAAGCTCAATTATTTTTTTAAAAATTTTCTTGGATAGAATGTGTCCTTGTCAAGATCTATATTAAAATCTCCTAATAACAATAAAATATCTGGTTTAACTGCATACTCATGCAATATATCTTCTAGTTTCAACAGGAAATCACTGGCACTCGCATTTGGAGAATGGTAGAGGTATAATGTTTGTTGTTAATTTTTATATGAAGTCCACTAATCCATATATTTTTGATAACTTTTTTAAATTTAAATTTTTCCTTGGCATATATTGATGATCCACCTATGTGTTGGCTTGTAGAATAGGCATATAACCTTTTGTATCCTTCTTTTTCTAGTTCATTTTCTTGTAATTCTGTTTTTATCTGTTTCTACAAAGCATAGGACTGTAGGTCTCCATTTATTTATTAGCTTTATAAGTTTCGTTCTGTGTGCTGGGAAACTTTCTATGTTTGGATACATTATGTTGTTCTTTTTTAACTGCTATCTTTTTGGGTTGTTGTATGTATCAGGGTAGATGACTCTCATTTGTAGTTGTTCAAATATTTTTTTATGAGCCTCACAGTGTCTGTTGTAAGCTGTATATTGATAATTTACATGTGGAATTTTTAGCATTTCTCTGATGCATACCTACTTGCAATTTACACAAATATTTATATCACCTCTACATTCATCTTGTTTGGGATTGTCGCTGCATTCGGGACATATGATATTAGTAGGTGTATATTGTTGCGCCATGTGTCCAAACTTGGATTTTCACTAAGGATTTTCACTGCATTTGGGACATATGATATTAGTAGGTGTACATTGTTGCACCATGTGTCCAAAATTCCGAAATTTATAGCAATGAACGACATTAACATGTTTAAAATATTTGCATTTTCTCCATCCTATACAGAGTGTCCCACCGGGAACAAATCGATCTATATCTGAGAAACTGTATGCAGAAAATTTTTGAAAATTTATGGAAGCAACCCAGCTAAAATATTTTCAAGACTCTTCCGGTTATACTGGAACTAGACGTCAGTGTGCTTATTTTTAATGTGACACCCTGCATGTAATTGCATATGTGGATTCTACGTAAAATTTTAAGCAGATTTCATGTAATATAACCTATACCTAAGTTCAACTTTTTTGGAACTATTATTGACAGTTGAAAATTGACTTTTTGTCATACGCTCCCAAAAACAGCTATTTTACGGACTCATTCAAGTCCGTAAAATGCTTCTTTTTAGGATTTTTTTTCTTTCTGGATGCACCTTTATGATGTCAAAAATTAAGGAAATTTTGCAAATTTTAGCGTTCTGAAGAATTCTAAAAAGCGTATGACAAAAAATAGTGTTTGTCACACGTACCTAGAGAAGTTTTTCAGGACTCATCTGTTTTTAGGTACTTGTAACAAAAATAGGTAACTATTTTGCAACTTTAACAAGCTGTATAACTTAAACGGTTAATTTTAGAGGAAAACCGATTCCACATTTCTGTCTTAGATTTTCATAAACTATCATTTAACACCAACTTTGAATTTAACCCGAGAATAAATTTAATTGGAATTTTTAATCATGGATGCACACGTCATTTCTTTTATTACATGTGTTAATAAAGTGATTTTCAGAAAAAGTCTCTTAAGCAATTTATATTATTTGTCATTTTTTAGGTTTCCTATTTATCACAATCCAGCGGCGTGGTATATGCTCAACCATCCCAAATCATTGGAGGTAGTCCTAATGCTGTAAGAAGAATAACCAGTTTCAGATCACAAAGTGCAGATCGAAAATCAGATGGTAAGAATTGAAATTCGTACTTTTTTGTAATTTTACACTAAAGTGATTCTACTCATTGCGGTAGAACAAGTGAAACTTTGTATTTTGGGTAATTTGCGAGAGAATGATACATATTACAATATGAAGAGATACCTAAGCAAAGATTCAGGGAGAGATTGATTAATTTCTTATTAATTGCTAAAGAAAGAGAAAGAAAGAGAGAGTGTGAGAGATAAACAATGTAACTGGGAAATATAGGAAACACTAAGAGCCGTTTTACACGGCAAAGTTTCTTTACGAAATTATTCACGAAATTATATTGCCGAAATATTTCGTAAGTTTACTATTCTTGTTTCGCTTTTTACGAGTTTGAAACGGCAAATAAAATTTAGCAAAAGTTTCGTGAAAATATTAGTCATACGCAGTCGCAATAACCTTTTTGCAATCACTAATATTAAATCATAACCTCATGCCAGAGGTTATTCTAACGTGCAGTTGGACACAAAATGTGCAGTAGGAAAAGTATATTGTGCAGAGGGAAATTGAAATTTGTGTACATAGTTATTTTTTCATTTATTACGAACAAAAAACTTAAAAACACAACAAACTAAAAATAATATAGTTGACATAATATGCTACATATGAGAATACAATAGCATTATCAATACCTACATTTATTCTAAGATTTCTTGCTACTTTTTCCCTCAGAACCATCTCTAAACTCTCCGCTCATCCATCCTCATTGTTAGCATTGGCTTCAGCATAAATACCTTTGTACCATATTTCTTGTTTGACCTGTACAGTTTCCAAGACTCTGTGCTGACGCTTATTCAACCAAAGCATAATGGCTTGTCGGAGATCGCATTCGTTTCCAGAATCTACGAACAAGCTACTTCGGAATAGGCTTTTTAATGTATTGCTGATATTTATAAGTCTTTATAGCGAGTCACCTCCGAGTTGGTTTTAACTCCAGGTTAAACGTTTCCAATTGCAATGTTTACCCTGCAATTATGCTCAAATCGGGGGTAACTTGTTATTGAGAAACCGGCCTTATGCGATTTAGCATTCAAGACCTGTGCGAAAATTTTAGATGCATTAAGGAATTCCGAAGAACTGGTTAAAAAGTTAACCAACTCATCAGAATTCAGAAAGCGTCAGTTTCTGCAATTTTTCTATTTAAGGATGTTCTAGTTTTTTGTCATAATCTAACTTGTATTGAGTTAAGCAAAGATCTTTCCCTAAAATACGACGAACCCCTTCAATATCTACTGTACTTGGCAATTCTAAATTCGTGAATGGATTTATCACTGATAGCTTATCAGCATCTATTTCATACGTCATCATAGCTTCACTTCTCTGTGCAGTGGAAAAAAATCCTCAGAAAAACCTCTGCCTCATGCTTTGGTACATTGGTAAACCAAAACAAATAAAACTTGCGTTTTCTAATTGTTGTTGAATCTTTGTACTCTTTTGCAGTTTCATAAAGTTGAATTTCTGCTTTCCTTCCATAAATAAAGTTTTGTTACTTTTGGCTTTGCCCCACTGATCTAAAAAATAAATGGATAAACAATTATACGGATGGATTGGCAAAATTTGTGCAAAAATTTGGGGCAATATTCTACGAACAGTTGTGCAGCGGAACAGCCTAACGCCTGCGCAGTGTCTTATCTTTCGAACAACTGTTCTAAATTTTGAAATTCCTTCATTTTCATTGGCCAGATTTTGTGCACGCACCGTACATGTATCTACTGCGCACGCTCACAGCTGTCCCAGTCAGTTGTTTTTGTTTAGATTAAGACCTCGTAAATTAGCAGCATTAGAAGCGTTCTTTGTTTATCCATTTATTTTTGAGATCAGTGCTTTGCCCAGCTGATCGTCTCCCTCCAACCCTATTTTTTTTGGCGCAACATTTTTTTTCACCTGTTGACCCACCGATAAACAGTCTATCTTTATCTATTACATAAGAAATCCAATGACGGATTCATAAGGCTCGAAGGAAAAGAATGCGCCTTTTATTTTGTAATTGTGTTCGCCGAAACTAACGCATTTTCTCGGCCGCGCCCACAAAAACTATAGAACATTTTCTAAAGTTTATTGGCGAAATATTTCGTAAGTTTTTCTTGTCGTGTAAAACAGGAAAAGTTAACTTACGAAATATTTCGGCAACAATTTCGTGAAGAAACTTTGCCGTGTAAAACGGCTCTAAGGTTGAACCAAATTGAAGCGGCAGTAAATGACACAACTGGTCATTTTCATCACAACCTATCAAATGTCCTCCGTGCATGCGCTCTAGTTCAGGGTGGTTCAGGTAGGGCGTTTCAACCAATAGGCTGTGTTTGTTTGCAATTTAGGTTATCTAATGTCATTTAAGTTGAAGACACAATGACAAATACAAGGTACAAGAGACATATACAAAATACCAAAAAATCGAAATTTTGTATCGAGTCATGGCAAGTAAATTGTATCTTATATCCATTTATTTTGAGTTATAGCATTTACTGTATTTCTTTTACCCGTTGAGTTACTCGAAGCTGCTCAATGTCAAAAGTTTCAACGTTCCTTTTAAAAGTGCGTTGAGCACTCGAGTCGTTCATAGTGCATCCCCCTTTCCCCTGATGCACCAAATTTGCGGGGGGTGCAAGAAGCTCTTTTAGATAATGACGGTAATGTTAATACTAAAAAATTTGGATAAAATCTGAATAGGGAACTTGCACATTAAATTAAATATGGAATAAATAACAAAACACCATAACAATCATCCTAGCAAATGATGCAATGAGGAAAAAAAATTAATATCTTATCTCTGGTGTCTAAAATCTTCAATTGAATATACCAAATAATTCAAAATTCATGACGCGATCAAAAACGGATTTCTATAGGTCGTGACGTCACAAGGCAGTAATAATCGGGTCGCGCTGGTGCCACGTCATGTACTGCTGATGTCGCAAATGTCAAATCTATCAAAAACTGCATACATAACAACATAACTATAGTATTTTTAATACCTATTTAGAAGTACTTGCCGTTTTAGTGACAAAACGTATGTCGTTTCTTGACACACAAATAAAATGAGGTTAGGAATTTCCTATTTGTAGATGAAATTGACGTAGTAGCAATCGACGTTTGTTTTTGTTGGTAATTTTTTGTTTCATCTGATTCGTGATTGATAAATAAGGATGGGGTTATTCTAAATGGGTATTACAAATGCTATATATAATCTTATTCTACCTGCTTGAAGTTCGAGGTGTCACTGTCATCGGAATTTTGTTGCCGAGTGACGTCACACAAATCGGTCGTTTCAAATGGCGATGTTTCGAGCGTAACTTCAAATATTTATAAAAAATTAACGGCTTATTTTTAATGCTTAATATTTGGCATGACTATGTCTTTAGTGTCGTAGAACACATTTTTGAAATTAAAAAAAAAAAATGTGCAAGTTCCCTATTGTGTGTTTTGGAGTGACTCCGAGGAGCTCGTTCGGTGTAACTCGATGTATAAAAGGAATACAGTAATTGATAAATACACGTCTTATTATATTTTTGTCTCTTGTCACTTGTATCTTGTATTTGTCATTGTGTCTTCAGTCTTACTGCCGCTTGGATTTGGAAATGGTGTAGATATAACAATTATTTTCTATTATATAGGAAGTCTCACAACGATTCCCAGAATCCCAGGTGATAACTTCTTACCACGTCATCCAATGTGATTGAAATTTTGAGGATTTTGGTAACTTTTTTGTGTCGCTTCTACATGTGTCTTCAAATTTCATCACTTTCGCTTCAGTTTTGGTCAAGTGACGGAAACTTTACAATCTTATTTTCGTTAGAAAATTAAATTACTACATCGGCAATGCCATATTTGATAGGGCTTTGATTTAAGATAAAAAATTACACATACGATGACGCGTTCCAAAATCATCACCGGGGTAAAACGTCGTTGGACACCCTGTATAATTTTTTTACATTGATAAAATTAGCTCTTCATCCACTAATCGATATTTACGATAACATTTCCCATTGCTTTTCTATTCCTTTCAAATTTTTAGCTCAAATGCTGATGTGCAAATGCCAACCTTGCTGCTCTATTTCTTCCCGAAACTATTGGCTTTCTAGCTGGACGTCTATTAAACAACTTCACATCTACTGTTTGCATTTTTTTTAATAATAAACAGCCTTTATCAAATTGAGTAGGCAGAATGAGAAACAATCGGAAAAATAATGCATAACAACCCGTTGTTGATAGAGTTGGTTTTAGAGTTGTCATTCAAGTTTTAAAAAAGTTAGTCACGATTTTTTAATTATATAAAAATACCTACATAGATCAATCACTCAGAGCTGGGTCTATTCAATTAATAAACACTAGACGTAGCATTGGTCCAAGTGTTTCCATTCAAGGATATCATCGCTGATATCCCGTAGCAGCACCGCCAAACAGCGCAATACCGAGAAGGTACCTATTCTTCAAGGTTGCGACAAAATTGGGCACCCTGCCCTCATCATGGTCCTTCGTATGCCGAATATGGAATGATTTAGCCAGAAAAAGACGAAAAAATCAGTAAAAAAGTCCAGCTAAAAACCCAAGGTCAGTCCATTCCATATTTTTCTGAAAGCTTGACGCTTTTTGACAGATAAATCGTTTGCAAGCTGTTTTGCTCCCTTTGGGGCCGATATTCATATTCCTCTAAATATTACGTATACTTACATATAACTTTACCTAATTTACCTACTCATTTCGAAAAATACTTATATCATCCTGCAATTTCGCAATCCTGAAACTTGTTTTGAATCATTCTCACCTAATATTATTTTTTAGAGTGCAATTGTGCCTACTGCGAATTTATCATCTACTCTATTGTAAAGTTCGAGCCAAAAATGGACCCTCCAGTACCCAATCCGATAATTGAAGCAAAATCAGAACTTGGATTTCTTGTTTATCGTCGTGGACAAATTAAAGCCACATTAACTCGTTTTGATACTTTTTTAGGAAAAATATCTGATCAAGATCTAGGCCTTCCTGAAAAT